TGCTCCCTAAGATAGTTTGCAATAATGACTAGGAAAACTGAGAGAAGACAAGAAGGACATTCATTCTCTAGAGTCAGGATTGTGTAAGCCTAAAAAAATCATACATTTTAGTACTCAGGGTGTATATCTATGCCAAGGGCTCTACTGATGAGATCTTTCAGAGTAATTTCTGTGAGAATGTTGTAGTTTCTTAATAGAAAACGAAAGCATGACAAAACCTCTACATTTTTAACACCGAGGCTATATGCTAAATTTTTCACATTCTCATCTGAAAGAGGTTTAATTTTCTTTCACCATCTAGAAAACTGTGATCACTTACACTAAACCCAGTCCCTGAAAAAATCCATCCAGAAAAAGAATCTCCCAGGGAAAGGCATGGGAACAAGAGCACAGTGTAGCTAAATTCTCCAGAAGTTAATGACTGGATCTCTTTTCCTCATCTCCTCCCTACAACATCAATAGTCTTAGAAATTACAGAGGGGAGCAAAATGCTTTAACACCACCTGGTGTAGTTTTCAGCAGTTGGTTTTGCTTCCAGGCCTGTCATGGCTCATTAAGATAGTACAGTACTTTCTGTCTGCAGGATTGTTCTCAGGGAACTTAGAATTCCAGATAAAATGGGATACAGAGGTTTTATCACAAGACAGAACAGGACTGTGACGTATCGTGCCAAAGTTTTAGTGTCTGAAAAGCTACAGAAGGAAAAGATTTCCAAGGCAGCTTCAGAGTAACAACAAACCAGTTAGAAAAGGTAAATATAACTTCCCAACACTTCAAGAAACAGTAGACCACAACAATCTAAATTTATGTGTATTCATATGGAGCATTTTGTCTGTGCAGGTTTTGCTGAAGGTTCAATGCCTTTGCTTTGCAGTTTTATTGCTCTGTGACACTTGGAGATTCAAGGTTCACTTAGTGTTTTGCAATTAGAAATGGATTCATTTTCATATTTCAGACTATTTCAACTGGATCAGTTACAATTTAATGGGGAGACAACATAGAATTAAAATAAACATATATGATTCAATATTTTATGCTTGAAAAGGACAAAACAAAAATTGCAAAGGACAAAACAATGCTAACAGGACACTAGCGTGTTAATTTTCACTCTGAGCCCTGAAAAAGACATTTTAAAAGAAATTTCCAAAGCTAATAGAAGGAAAAGGGGCTGACAGGGATGCACTTGCTCAGCTTTGCCCCAGACAGTGAATCCTACAGACACAGAGTGCCCCCTGTGGGACTTAAAAAACTGTGTCAATTAATCAGTTTCCTTTGGATTCCTTTCAACTTCAGCTTCCTACTCATACCTCCAGACAATGCTGTTTTACTGCTGGGAAGATGAACTTTTCAGAAGATAAACAACCTCAGCTTCCCCTGATTTCATTTTCAGTTGTGAGTGCTCGTGTACATGCCTTTCCATTTTTCTTATCTGAGAGCCAGACAATGAAGATGTGGACTTCTCCATCTAGCAAACATTTTTCAGTCATATCATGCAGAGCTGTAGCAGAGCTATGGGTGAAGAGTCTTCCAGCACAGCCCTGCCTAGGCTGGCATCTCATTTTCATGAGCATCCCTCCTGTAGCTCTCAGCAGGCCTCTGAGATGAGGAGAGGAAGGCATGCAATAATGCAATAAACTCATTAAACTGCACAGGTCTGGCTCATTTCTGATCACCACCTACACTCTCTATCAAAGAAACACTACCTGTGGGATGAACTCATCCCATTAGACACTACTGTGATAAAAACTCAAAAGAGGACTCATGTACAGGCAAGAAATCAAAAGATGTTTTCTGGCAGCTTGGTTTTGAAACATAAATTATTTCCTGAGATAACAATTGATTCATCCGCAATATCCTTGATTATTTTTCAAGAAACAAGAGGATAGTAAATTATTCTCAGACAAGTAATAATCCTTCTGTAGTGAGCCAGCAGGATGAAAGACTGGACTCTGAAGAGCCAGCTACATTATGTAAGCCTGCATACCTTGAATTATAGGGCTAGCAGCAATTGCAATTAGCAGGAAAAGGCATAATTCAGGCTATTGGATCATTTTCCAGGTCTGAAAGAACAGCTTGAGAAATGCCCCAAGTGGGACTTTTCAATCCTGAAGGAAGACCCTTCTGACCATAACAAAAGGCCTGTCTAGTATAAAAACCCTGCAGACACAGTGTCTGTTCCCCTTCCCTGTAAGTGCAGAGTTTGCTGCTGCAGATTTGGCAATGGCATGAGCTCGGCCTCAGATTAGACTGTTTGTGCTTGGTTATTTTCACACACTGCCAAAATTTGCTGACAACACCAGGGAAAAAAATAAAAAAAATAAAAAAAAAAAAAAAGGAAAGTAAAACTGGTGATTTTCAACAGTTTATAACTCAGCTCAGCCTAAGCAGGTTTTTATGGGACAAAGAACAGAGATTTCTCTGTAGACAGCACTTTATTCCTGCCTAATTTAAAAGATTTGCTGTGAATGATGGAAACATTAGAACTTCTTAAAGAAAACATAACAAAACAAAAATCCTAGCAGTTCACTAGTATTTCTCTACAGTAGATCAGATTTGGTGATATAAATAGAGACCATTATCTGCCTCTCTCATAATTATTCGCAATAAAGTTTTTTTAAAGAAAATGAAAATATTAGACTTAAAGGAAGAGGGTTTAAAAATACATAGTATTTCTTCAAGGAGTGAAATTTCTTGCTTGGAGTAATTCACACTTGAGCTATTCTAGTGCCACACTATTCCCTAAGGAGTGTGAAATGATCTTCTCAGGGTTACAGAGTCAGTAGTAAACACAAGTTCTGCTCCAAGAAACAGCATTTTAAACATGTATTTTCACTAGCATTATATCTAACAACTTCCTATTGAAACCCAGAGGAAACTTTCTGGAGTCCCCTTGTTGCTTTAACACTTTCTTTCGCTGTGTATCTAGGATCTCCTCAGCTGTTTTTCCTGTCTGCTCCCCAGCCCCATGAGCTGACTGCAGGGCCCAGGTTGTTAAATCTACACCTTGATCAAATCCCAAATTTAATCAGTGCTGCTCTTGAGCACCTCAGACTCGTCCCACTCGCTGAAGCATGCTCTAAAACTTAGGAAACAATATTGCTTCACTGTCCCTTTGAACACCATCTGTACAACAGCTATTTCTCTCCTTGAGAACTCCAAAAGCAGCCAATTGCTTCACAGAACTCACCACTCATTCAATTACTGTTGTTTTTCAGTTGAAATAGTAATAAATACTTCAACAAAAGGAGGAAAATTTTGCAGAACTAGAAAACAAATGAGTGCTTTTCCTAAAGGACACAGGCTGGGAAAGCAGGGCAAGAAAGAATACACTGGAGTTTCTGTATATAAAATAAGATATTTAATTGACTGGGAGTCCTCAGTAGAGACTTGTTTGCAAGAGACTCTCATGGTGAGGGTGAGTTTTTGAAGTTTGGATGCCTTTGGCAGCTTTATAGAACTTTAAGACAGACCAGCTATGACTAAAACACGCTCAGCTAGTTAACCATACAAATGTAATGCTTTTTCCATCTCTCTCTCCATGTGCTGACAGCATTACCATTCTCTCCAGTGTTCTTCCTTCTGAGCTACAATGGATCTACCAGCTCATGCAGTCCCTGATACCACACTTCAGTGCAAAAACTTTCCAACAATAACTTACACAGCTAAGAGAGGTCATCATTTAGAAGTGAGCAGTTATATTAAAGGATCTACACAATTCCAAATACATTTCAGGATACAGAGTACACTGCGTGTAGATTTTAATGAGGAGGTTTGGCAGAGCAATTTGGCAGAAGAAAGTACTGTCAAGTGATTGGATATGGGATACATCTCCAGTTGCTTTGGATTCCCACATCACCTCAAGAGCTATTCTTCCCATCCCCCCATACAGCAACTCTCAAGGCAGTCAAATTTATAGCTCAATAAATTTTTTTATTAAAAATAAAAAGTGTGGCTTTTAAGTACTGCAGTCTTCCAACATCCTTATGCCAGGTCCAGATCAAACTGTTGTAGCTGAATATGAAGCTGGGGAAGCTTGGCCCACTTTATACAGCACTTCTAAGTTAAAGTTTCAAGATCTAAGCCACCTCTTTCCATTTTGTAACAGCTGTTTTTCTATCCTTTCATTAAAAAAAAAAAAAAAAAAAAAGGAAAGGAAAGAAACCAGTGTAGAATAGTTAAATAAATAAATAATGGCTCACAAAACCACAGTGGAGGAACCACTGCAAGTCCTGCCAATAAAAATGTTCCTTCTCTTCAGGGCTGGCTAAACAACTGAAAGTGTTTCTAATGAACTGCTGGCAGCACTATCCATCATTGCACTAAATGGATTCATGTCTCCCTAAACTAAGGGTAACTATTTATCTGTAATGCAGAGTCAGAAATGAGGAAGTATTTAAGCCTGAGAAGTCTAATCCCTCTCTTCTCCCCAGCTCCTCAAAGCTTGGTTTTATCCAGGCTTCCTTGTGTAAGGATGATTAGAAAAGTTTGACTGTTAGAGAATTTCAAACTGCTCCAGTGCTAATGAACCATCTGCACGAGTTTGAAAAATCCTTGAGCAGACCAGACATCTGCAGTCTGATTTTAGCATTACAAACACCTGACATTCTGTTTATCTTTTCCCTCTTTTTGTTGTCATTTGCTACACTGACTTGGCACCTTACCTTGAAGCAGTTACAGGCTGCTCAAAGCAAGATGGCACATTCATTAGACACAGAAAAATTCAGTCCCAATAGCTGCTTAGGATCTTTGAAGATGCTGTTGTGCAAATAACAGAAATCTACTGTAAACAAGGAGAAGGAAGAAATGTTTTTGAGCTCTAGAGGGAGTGTGAAAGTGATGTCAGCAATCTCTGGAGGTCAGCTCTGAAGGCTCGACTGATCTCAGATTGCTGCTATCTGCAGAGACCTACCCATGCAGGGGCTGTCTTTAGAACAGGGATCAGAAAGAAATGCAGAGACACCAATGAAACACACCCACAAATAATAAAAGAAGACACTTACTTCATTTCTAGGACCTCCTCCAAATGTTTCCTTCTTTCAGCTCGTAGGTTGGTCAGGTGGGTTTCCTTCTCAGCCAAAGACTGTTGTGTGGAGGACAGCTTTGCTTTCATTGACTCCAGCTCCTGTTTGACCTTCTCCATAGCCATCATCAGCTCTTCTACCTGAAACATCATTGGAGAAGACAGGAGGAGAGAAAAATTGATGTGAGCGGCTGGAACTTACTGAATGTCCCAAGTAAAGTGGAGCAGAAAGGTCAGCAGGGCACAGATCCAGTGCTGTGGTCAGGATGTCTACACTTGAATAAAGCACAGCTCAGGAGTTAGCTTGCTTTGGTCACTGCAACACAATCTCTGCAATACAAACCTTCAGCTCCTCTGTATTTCTATTTTAGATGCAGCTCAGGGAGAAGAGGATGGCCTGTGAATGTCAACCCTGGCCCACAAAAATGTGAGGTATTAAATGAAACACGTTGATAAAACAGCAAAAGGATAAAAAACTTCCACTGTAAATGATGCCTAAAGAGAAGCTACACATGCATTTCAAGAACAAAGGTAACATTTCTGAAGCAGGGAGAGGAATGGGTTCCCATAAAAATGTGAGGCCATTTCCCTCAAAATACCATTTGAACAATGCTTTTTAGGCACACATTGGGATTTAGCAACATAAGACATTCAAAGAGTTGCTGATGGCAGAGAAGTACAGCAGAACAATGCTCTTACCTTCAGCAAACTGGAAAGATTCAGAGTCAACATGATTGTGAATTCTGCCATACATTTTCCATAATGAAGAGTCATTTTATTTTGCACTCAGAACATGTTCTGTCTCAGGCGAAATTTATCACTAATTTACATGCAAAATCACAATACATGCTTCAATCTAGCTACATAAAGAATTCTACAAAAACTTCTGGATGTGCTTTAATAATTTTATAATAAAGCTCAATGGCACACATTACTTTCACTGACTTTTTCCATGTAGGTTTTCTCTTTCCATCACAACCAAGTGTTCATAAACAATTTTATAATGTGCTTTTAATGGGAGAAATTCAGATGCTGTTACTGTGCAAAATCAAATATTTGCATAAATTTAGTATGCAAGCACAGCACTACACTGCCTTTAAACCCCCCCCATAACAATCAACTCATGATCCATCCTGGAAGTGTAAATTATTGAATTTACAACAAGCTCAATTTCCAATTGTATGTTTTTACAGGGAGAGTTGAGTATGTCATTTGCTCTGTAGGTGCTGTAGGAGGGAAGTATGTAACTTGCTTTAATAAATGCTGTACTCCTAAAGGCAGAGCTAATGGCTCAGGACAAACATGGATAATAAGACTGGTTTTCATCCTCAACTGGTGCCAGAGCAAGAAACATTGCAACTGAGAATTAGGAGATTTATAAAAATCTATCAGAAAGCCTTTCTACTTCCATGGAAATGCAGCTGCCAAAAGGTGGTAATTCTTATGCTTAGCAAACTAAATTAAAAACAATTTAAATATGCAGTTAACAACATATTTGATGTTTAAAAACAATTAAAATATGCAGTTACCACAACCTATTCAAAATGAACAGCCAAGAATTCATCTGGTAATCACCAGACCAAAGGAGAACCTCAGTGAGAAGTAGTCCAAACTGGCAAGCATGGATATAATAACCAAACTTTTCTTTTTTTATTAGTGTTTAGTGCACAAAACAAGATCAGAAAATCTGCCAATTTTTAAAACTAAGAGAAAACCCCATAAAATGAAATAGAGAAAATGTATCAGGAAAGAATGCAAAGAAGAGCTGCAGAAATAATGAATAGCAATAATACTACTGGTTCTTAAAGAATGATGGGGTAATGAAAGTGCACTTGAGCATCAGCTGCTGGGGTATGAGTTTCTGCTTCCTGTGGGTGGATCAGAAATAGCCCCACAAATTCCTACCCAGCCATTCTCCTTTAAAGAGGCACACCAACTCTAAACCCCTGGGCTTGAACAGAAAACCACCTCCCATCAACCAGCCCCCAGCCAACTGCAGCAGACGAAAGGGCCCGTGTCAATCTGTCAGCTGCCAAGATAAAACAATCTCTGCAGCAACATCTTCTCCATCAGCAGGTCTGAAATATTTCTGGCAGGCTTCCTCCCCCTGCCAGCCCTCAGGGGCTGGGATGCTGACACCCAAGGACTGCTTTGCCTGATCTGTGACAACTCTGAGCTGTTTGGAAAACATAAGCCTGATACCTGGGCCAAGGCTCCCAGGGAGAGGTGGCAAGGGCTGACTCTGTCTCCTATCAGTGCTTACTGCAGGTACTTTATCTCCTGCTCTGTTTGATAACTCTTTGGATTCTCAGGTTATAGTTCCTATTTCTGCAGGCCAACAGAAAATTGATCTAATCATGTATTAGGAATGGCTGGAATGTGAGGAGCTTTTAAACTGTGCCAACAGCTTGGTTTACAGAACTGTCATTACCTTCCAAGCTCTCCAGCAAGGGCCATTTGTCAAGTAATTCACTAAAGACAAAGTTCACCAAAATAGTGATGATTGTATTCACAGCAAAGACTTCATTGTTCAGATTCATCAGGCTGTAGATAGTCCAAGGGCCTATTTCAATTAAACTGCTACAAAACAAAACATTTCATTTGGCAGCTTCTGAATCTCAGTGCAGACCTGTCCCAGTAATCAGTCCTGTGGGAAACGACACAGGAATATTCACCAGAAGCAAACTACTTGCAATGCACATCTAATTTAGCCTACACAAAAAACTTCACATCTACTCTTGAATTTTGTCCCCTGAGAGCAGATAATTATATAATAAAGAAAAAATATTTGCCAAAACCAGAGCTCTTGGCACGCTGAGACGTTTTCAGAGACATGCTGTTGACATTTTCAATTTAGCTGTGGGTAAGCTCGTGCCCTGTCAGTCGTAGCTAGAAAGTCTCCACCCATTTCAGAAGATGCAAGGAGGGAACTCTTGCCACTCTTTGCTTAAATGACAGTACATAAAGTAAGGTGTATCTTCAACTTAGCCATGACTCAGTTCTCTGCAGACAGGCCAGAAAGGTCTTCATGTATTCTGAGCAGAGAACTTAAATGGAGACTTATTTGTTCATTGTTTTTAGGCCTTAAGTGACCTGACCAGGTGACAGCTTATCTTTAAGGAAGAACATCATGCTGAAATAAGTTTCCATTAGAGGAAAGATTTCCTGAGAGACTGAACAAACTATGTGAAAGAAGGCAAAGAATGTCAATTAGATCAGGATGGGATTCAGAGCAGCAGAAAAGGGAAATGACAAGACAGGACAAATAGTTTGCATAGAATTGTGTCTCCTTCCTTAGGAAGCATGAAAGCAAGGTGGAGAGAAATGGCAATGCAACAGAAGTTCATCTATCATGTCAAAGAAATTATTTAATAACAAAAAAAAAAACAACCCTGAAGCTCTTTTCAGGATTCTATCTACTATCTTAACCTCCCTTCTCCTACAGACTGTTATTTCAGGCTCCTCCAAATGCAAATCAAAACCCAGCCTTTTGCACAGACAGAGCCATTATCCATTATCTCCAAATATATTGTGGTTGCAGTAAACCTTTCTGGCCATTGGGTAATGTCAAGCCAGGGGCTTGCAAAGAGCTTGGTGAAGTTCCCCAAAATCCAGTAAAAAACCAGCAAAATTGAGAAAGGGGCTGTATATACAAAGTATTACTGAGGCTGGAAATCCTACCAACCTCTGCCCCTGGGATGATTTCTGGTGATCAGGACAGGTGAGCAGTTCCCTCACCTGCTACATGAGAACTAATGCACTGCTAAGAATTCCTGAGCCACAATCGCTATTTCAGGCCAGGAAGAATGCTTTTATCAGCTGATGTGCTTGTTACTGTTTGCCTCAGAAGATCAGAGCCCAAAGACTCTGACCTGAAGTCGATGCAGACAGATGGCTCACTAATGGCACCTCAGCATCCCCAAACACTTCAGCTTCTTCACATCACAATGCACCTTTTTTCTTCCCACAGAGAGCTCTCCTCAGTGATAAAGCATCACCTGAAGATAACTTTTCTACTGCACAAAAAACTGGAAGAGGCTTCTCTAGCCCTCTCAGAGGATAGTTCTAGAGATTAGTTTTCTGCTTGCACCTTTTTAGAGAAGCAGAGCAATCCTGGGTGATGATCCAAGCCACAAATGCATCATGAATGCTGGCAACACCATGTCAGTCACTGCAGTGGGACTGTGCAAGCCTGAAGAGGCAATGGCAGAGCCATCAGAGTGGGGGCAAAAAGAGCACAGTGCTGTGCACTTGAAAAAACACTTGCAGGGGCAGAGGCTCTGTTCTGAAATGGTGACCCATGCAATCCCTGTTTGGAGACCAAGAATGAGGAAAAGGCTAAAGAATGCACAGACACCACAGAGGAGAATGTTCCAGTCTCAAGTGATGGGATATGAATGCATCCAAATCCACATGGATATGACTGGCATTAAAGATAGCAAATCACTGGTGCACTACCTAAAATACACTTTGTGTTAGGTGAGGCTTTTTCTCACCTGCAGATTATCAGTCTTTACAGAAGACACTGTGTATCTTTTTTTGGTTTTCATTTTTGCACAGAAGGGTTTGGGTTGGAAGGACCTTTAAGGACCATGCAGGGCAACCCTCCTGCCATGCCCTTCACTGGATTAATGAAACCAAAGCCCCATCCAACCCAGCCCTGATAATTCCAGTGATGGGACATCCACAACTTCTCAGGGCAATCTGTTCCAGGGTCTCACTGTGCTCATTATATAGAACTTCTTCCCTATGTCAAGTCCTTATTCTGACTGAATAAGAGAATAAGTAAGAGAAACTTATCCTCTTTCAGTTTAAAACCATTGTCCTGTAACTAGGGACCTTGGGGAAGAATCTCTCTCTCTTTCAAGTCCCCTTTTTATCCTTCAAGGTTGCAATGCAGACTCTCCAGAGCCTTCTCCAGACTGAGCAGTTCAGTTTGCCAGGCTTTCCTCCCAGGAGAGATGCTCCTCTGATCATCCTGGCCTCCTCTGGACCTGCTCCAGCAGGGTGGTGTCCTCCCTGTGCTGGGGCTCCAGAGCTGGGCTCTCTCCAGAGCCAGAGGGGCAGAATCCCCTCCCTCCCCCTTCCCAGTCTGGAATTTAAAGTCCCAAAAACTCTGTTACACTGAGATCCCTGCTCCC